TTCTTAGCACTTAAGTTCATCACAACTAGCCACTAGTATTTCCTAGCACTTAAGTTTATCACAACTAGCCACTAGTATTTCTTAGCACTTAAGTTCATCACAACTAGCCACTAGTATTTCCTAGCACTTAAGTTCATCACAACTAGCCACTAGTATTTCCTAGCACTTAAGTTTATCACAACTAGCCACTAGTATTTCCTAGCACTTAAGTTCATACAACTAGCCACTAGTATTTCTAGCACTTAAGTTCAACACAATAGCCACTAGTATTTCCTAGCACTTAAGTTCATCACAACTAGCCACTAGTATTTCCTAGCACTTAAGTTCATCACAACTAGCCACTAGTATTCTTAGCAACTTAAGTTCATCACAACTAGCCACTAGTATTTCCTAGCACTTAAGTTCATCACAACTAGCCACTAGTATTTCCTAGCACTTAAGTTCATCACAACTAGCCACTAGTATTTCTTAGCACTTAAGTTCATCACAACTAGCCACTAGTATTTCCTAGCACTTAAGTTCATCACAACTAGCCACTAGTATTTCCTAGCACTTAAGTTCATCACAACTAGCCACTAGTATTTCCTAGCACTTAAGTTCATCACAACTAGCCACTAGTATTTCTTAGCACTTAAGTTCATCACAACTAGCCACTAGTATTTCCTAGCACTTAAGTTCATCACAACTAGCCACTAGTATTTCCTAGCACTTAAGTTCATCACAACTAGCCACTAGTATTTCCTAGCACTTAAGTTCATCACAACTAGCCACTAGTATTTCCTAGCACTTAAGTTTATCACAACTAGCACTAGTATTTCCTAGCACTTAAGTTCATCACAACTAGCCACTAGTATTTCCTAGCACTTAAGTTCATCACAACTAGCCACTAGTATTTCCTAGCACTTAAGTTCATCACAACTAGCCACTAGTATTTCTTAGCACTTAAGTTCATCACAACTAGCCACTAGTATTTCCTAGCATTAAGTTCATCACAACTAGCCACTAGTATTTCCTAGCACTTAAGTTCATCACAACTAGCCACTAGTATTTCCTAGCACTTAAGTTCATCACAACTCGCCACTAGTATTTCTTAGCACTTAAGTTCATCACAACTAGCCACTAGTATTTCCTAGCACTTAAGTTCATCACAACTAGCCACTAGTATTTCCTAGCACTTAAGTTCATCACAACTAGCCACTAGTATTTCCTAGCACTTAAGTTCATCACAACTAGCCACTAGTATTTCCTAGCACTTAAGTTTATCACAACTAGCCACTAGTATTTCCTAGCACTTAAGTTCATCACAACTAGCCACTAGTTTTTCCTAGCACTTAAGTTCATCACAACTAGCCACTAGTATTTCCTAGCACTTAAGTTTATCACAACTAGCCACTAGTATTTCCTAGCACTTAAGTTCATCACAACTAGCCACTAGTATTTCCTTAGCACTTAAGTTCATCACAACTAGCCACTAGTATTTCCTAGCACTTAAGTTCATCACAACTAGCCACTAGTATTTCCTAGCACTTAAGTTCATCACAACTAGCCCTAGTATTTCCTAGCACTTAAGTTCATCACAACATAGCCACTAGTATTTCCTAGCACTTAAGTTCATCACAACTAGCCACTAGTATTTCCTAGCACTTAAGTTCATCACAACTAGCCACTAGTATTTCCTAGCACTTAAGTTCATCACAACTAGCCACTAGTATTTCCTAGCACTTAAGTTCAACACAACTAGCCACTAGTATTTCCTAGCACTTAAGTTCATCACAACTAGCCACTAGTATTTCCTAGCACTGTAAGTTTATCACAACTAGCCCTAGTATTTCCTAGCACTTAAGTTCATCACAACTAGCCACTAGTATTTCTTAGCACTTAAGTTCATCACAACTAGCCACTAGTATTTCCTAGCACTTAAGTTCATCACAACTAGCCACTAGTATTTCCTAGCACTTAAGTTCATCACAACTAGCCACTAGTATTTCTTAGCACTTAAGTTCATCACAACTAGCCACTAGTATTTCCTAGCACTTAAGTTCATCACAACTAGCCACTAGTATTTCCTAGCACTTAAGTTCATCACAACTAGCCACTAGTATTTCTTAGCACTTAAGTTCATCACAACTAGCCACTAGTATTTCCTAGCACTTAAGTTCATCACAACTAGCCACTAGTATTTCCTAGCACTTATAGTTCATCACAAACTAGCCACTAGTATTTCCTAGCACTTAAGTTCATCACAACTAGCCACTAGTATTTCTTAGCACTTAAGTTCATCACAACTAGCCACTAGTATTTCCTAGCACTTAAGTTCATCACAACTAGCCACTAGTATTTCCTAGCACTTAAGTTCATCACAACTAGCCACTAGTATTTCCTAGCACTTAAGTTCATCACAACTAGCCACTAGTATTTCCTAGCACTTAAGTTTATCACAACTAGCCACTAGTATTTCCTAGCACTTAAGTTCATCACAACTAGCCACTTAGTATTTCCTAGCACTTAAGTTCATCACAACTAGCCACTAGTATTTCCTAGCACTTAAGTTCATCACAACTAGCCACTAGTATTTCTTAGCACTTAAGTTCATACACAACTAGCCACTAGTATTTCCTAGCACTTAAGTTCATCACAACTAGCCACTAGTATTTCCTAGCACTTAAGTTCATCACAACTAGCCACTAGTATTTCCTAGCACTTAAGTTCATCACAACTAGCCACTAGTATTTCTTAGCACTTAAGTTCATCACAACTAGCCACTAGTATTTCCTAGCACTTAAGTTCATCACAACTAGCCACTAGTATTTCCTAGCACTTAAGTTCATCACAACTAGCCACTAGTATTTCCTAGCACTTAAGTTCATCACAACTAGCCACTAGTATTTCCTAGCACTTAAGTTTATCACAAACTAGCCACTAGTATTTCCTAGCACTTAAGTTCATCACAACTAGCCACTAGTATTTCCTAGCACTTAAGTTCATCACAACTAGCCACTAGTATTTCCTAGCACTTTAGTTTATCACAACTAGCCACTAGTATTTCCTAGCACTTAAGTTCATCACAACTAGCCACTAGTATTTCCTAGCACTTAAGTTCATCACAACTAGCCACTAGTATTTCCTAGCACTTAAGTTCATCACAACTAGCCACTAGTATTTCCTAGCACTTAAGTTCATCACAACTAGCCACTAGTATTTCCTAGCACTTAAGTTCATCACAACTAGCCACTAGTATTTCCTAGCACTTAAGTTCATCACAACTAGCCACTAGTATTTCCTAGCACTTAAAGTTCATCACAAACTAGCCACTAGTATTTCCTAGCACTTAAGTTCATCACAACTACCCACTAGTATTTCTTAGCACTTAAGTTCATCACTTAAGTCTATCACAAATATTTCAAAATATATTTGGAAATAATTTAAATATTTATTTTTCGAATAAGTCTCTACATTGTATAAAATATTTATCATTTTTTATTTCCAGCGAATTCATTATACCTGAATTTATTAATCTGGAGAATTAAGTAATAAATATCAAAGACGTTTGCAAATATTTATATATAAAAAAACATTTAATGTACTTCTGAATGTTTCTCTATAAATGTTTTCCAAAATTTATTTAATTTACTCTTACAATGTTTTCTAAGGTACATTCTTACAGCTATTTCCAGATATTTTTCTTCATAATTATTATGAACAAATTCAATGGAATAATTTGCACTCCGGATTTATACATCAGTGTATATACATTGAGAGGAGAACATCTATATATATATATATATATATATATATTATATATATATATTATATATATTATATAATATATATATATATATATATATATATATATATATATATAATCAAAGACCTCCCCTGACACTTGCACTACGAGGCTCCGAGGGTCTGGGAACAGCCCTGGGCATACCCGTTATGAGGACCACTGCACCCTGACCCCGTCAATGACCTCACTCGTGAGTGACCTCACTCGTGGGTGACCTCATACTCGTGAGTGACCTCTCGTGTAACTCATCTTGTCCTTCGGGACAGTCATGAAAGACGAGAAAGTAGTGATGGAAGGTATGAAAAACAAGGAAGGTTATGGGATGGTATGAGAGGGAGGGAGGGAGGGAGGGAGGGTGCCTTGATATAAAAAGGCTCTTGATCTGAGGAACTGTAGCTACCCCATCCATCGCCCCCACCATTCTTCCATGGATCGAAGCCGGTTATCTCCCATTCCCCAGGCGCTGTATGACCCTTACGAGTTTAGCGCCTCCCAATGAATATACTACTATTACAACAACTATGACTACTACTACTAACAATAATAATAACAGTAATAATAATAATAATAATGATACTACTGCTATTACTATTACTAATAATGATAATAATATTGTTAATAATAATAATAATAATAATAATAATAATAATAATAATAATAATAATAATAATAATAAATAATAATAATAATAATGAAGATGAGTTTGTTGAGAATGAAAAGACGAGGAAATGAGGTAGAAAGAGGAAGAGTGAAGAAGTAAAGAGAGGAAGGAAAGTGAGGAGAAAAAAGGTGAGGGAACGAGTTAGGGGATGAGAAGGGAGAGAGGAGGAGAAAGGGTGATGGGGAGGAATATTACAAGGGGAGGTTATCTGGGGAGGGAGGGAGAGGTCAGGGGTTGCTTATAATCATCTCCCTTCACCTCCCTCCACCCCTCCCCTCCACCCCTTCCCTCCATCCTCCCCACCCCTCCCCTCAACCCCCTCCCCTCCATCCCTTCCCTCCACCTTCCCCTCCACCCCCTCCCTCCACCTATAACATGCTCAACAACCTCACTCCAACATTCAGGTATGAATTGGGAATTTTTCAACCTCCGAGTGATTGTTTGGAGGCTGATGTCTCTTCTTCCCTACCCTTCCTCCCACCTCCTCTCTCTCTCTCTCTCTCTCTCTCTCTCTCTCTCTCTCTCTCTCTCTCCTTCGTCTTTCTAACTGTCTCAGCCTTGCACTCCTGGGCAGGTCGGGGGCGGTGTCAGGTATATATACAGTCACAACTGCACCAGCCAGCCATCGTTCCAGACGACTCCCAGCACACCAGACATGAAGCTTGTGAGTACAAGGAGGAGGAAGTAGAGGAGGAGGAGGAGGAAGAAGAAGAGAAGACGAGAAAGACTGGGGGAAGGAAAGAGAAAAGGGAACTAGAGGAGTCTGTGCCTCTGTGTCAAGACTTGAAGATTTTTTATTCTACAGTTTTATTTTCACTAATAATATTTATGACCGCCTCCTCCTCCCTTTCATTTTCTTTTACATATTCCTTAGTGTTGGGGTGTTGCTTTTTTCTAGTTTAATGCTTCACTGTCTCCCACCATCATCGACCGAGTGTCTTCCCCGTCTCCTCCCACCATCATCGTCTAGCAGACGATGGGATTTTCGCTTCTCTATACTTGATGGTTGAAAGTTCTCTTGGTGCGATCAAGAGGGATGGTAGCGAAAGGAATATAGATTCGTGAGTCAGAGAGCATTTCGGAGGTCAGCCTCGCAATCAAGGCAATTCGGTGGTTGTCCCTGATCGCGAGGACTGACTTCGAAAATTTGAAGCCTTGCTCTCTGACTCACGCATTTACACTCCTCTCGTTACTTAATTTCTGTACAATGCTTCGAAAATTAAAAATTTCTAGTCCGATTCCGACAGCTACAGCCATCACCAGTTTCTGCTGTTGCTCCAAGTTCTCTCAGTTGTCTCCGCTGAGAGACAGCCGAGTACCTAGTACCAAGCCACTCTAGTGGCTCACTAGACTACCTTGTACCTTCTTGGTACCATCTGCCTCTTCTACTTTCGCTAAGAAGAGGCAGCAACGAGTCGACACGACGATGACAAAGACACATGATAAAAAAAATATCTATATAACTTTTCAAGTTACGTAACTTGAGAGGCGAGTCCCCATCACTTGAAGTGGCGCTCTCCGGTTCATCACCTCACATCCCATGTCTTTAACTGTAGCTACTTTCCTCGCCCTCGGGGTCAAACCTGATTACATCCAGTTTCACGAGAGCTGTGTGACCTGTGTGGGCACAACGCCTCCCCATGAATGCAATATAACAATACCCATGTGATGACCTGACTTTCATACATCCACAGGTACTAGTCACCTGCCTGGTAGCTGTCGCCTTCGCTGCACCAAAGCCACAGAGCGATATACCAGAGGCGCAGGTCGTCCGCAGTGACCGGTCAGAGGTGCAGGTCGTCCGGAACGACAGGCCAGAGGTGCAGATCCTCCGCAACGACCGCGAGAACCCGGGTGATGGCAACTTTAACTATGCTATAGAGGCCGACAACGGCATCAACTTACAGGCTGCTGGCAGCGTTGGCTCTGAGGGCCAGAGTAACATCCAGGGCAGCTACTGGTGAGTATAACCTTGATGATGCTGAGGTGTTCTTGATCCAGGCAAGTAGAGTAACCCTCCTGCCACTCCCCATGTATGATCCATGTGGAGTTAGTGCTTCCATATATCTATAATGCTAATAATACTGGAGAGTGTCAGAGGGGGACTACACACCATGCATGTTTTGTTTACATCCATAAGAACATAAGAAAGAAGGAACACTGCGACAGGCCTATTGACCCATGCGAAGCAGGTCCATGTCCCCCCCTCCTCGGATTAACCCAATGACCCACTCCCCGGATTAGCCCAATGACCCACCCAGTCTGGTCACCTCCACTCAAGGATGGAGCACGGCACCAGACCCAGCAGCACAAGCTAGTCAGGTCCAACTCACACCCACCCACACCCACTTATGTATTTATCTAACCTATTTTTAAAACTACACAACGTTTTAGCCTCAATAACTGTACTCGGGAGTTTGTTCCACTCATCCACAACTCTATTACCAAACCAGTGCTTTCCTATATCCTTCCTGAATCTGAATTTTTCCAACTTAAAACCATTGCTGCTAGTCCTGTCTTGGCTGGAAATTTTCAGCACACTATTTACATCCCCTTTATTTATTTTGAATGTGTAACTGCAGGTTAGGAAGATGTAAGATTTTTTATGTCATTCCAATGAGCGCACGCACACACACACACACACACACACACAACACACACACACACACACACACACACACATTTCAATTAAGAGCTGTAATGGGATCCCAGAGGAGGCAGTATATACTTTAACAACTACACACATTAATCATTTATGATACACTAAACGTACAGCCACTGCACTTAGAACTGCTGCAAACATTACCTGAAAAAATAAACAATAAATATACCCCTGCACACACTGATCCATCAACCAACACATCGGTCACAACGAAACAGCAATACCTGACACAACCAGAAGCTCCGTTATTAGAATGTTTGTCTCACAATAGCAAGGACCCGAGGCACGTCTTCACCTTGCAATAAATAGGTATCAGAGTGTTAGTTGATTGCTTTAGATGTCATGCTGGGGTGTGGTACATCATTGTGCTGAAATAGAATAAGAACTCGTGGCCTCTAAACAATTTACTATGCAAAAAATAATGATACTCCATTCTCGGCGGAATAAACAAAATCCTCCACTGTTTTTCCTGCCTAGGTTACCCCTGGAGGACGGCACCTTCCAGGAAATTCGCTACGTTGCCGACGAGTTCGGCTTCCGTCCAGACTCCTCGCTGCTGCCCACACCCCACCCAGACCCTCCCCATGTCGCTGAGCTCCTCCGTATCGCGGAGGAACAGCGAGCACAGGGCATCACCTTCGAGTGAGGCTCCAGACCCTACCGGAGCAGAGTGAGAAAGCGGATCCTCACGGAGTGCGCTACGTAATGACGCATCTCACTCCAACAGAGAGAGAGAGAGAACTTCTGGCGACATCTTTTCAATGCAACGTAAAGTCCGTTGTGAAAAAAACTATTAAAAACACTGAAACACCTTAATATAATTTTAAATTAAACATTTTGTATTAAATTTTGTTTTATTATTCATGTGTATGAAGCCATAATGATGGTGTCCGGACACCATGATGTTCCTACTGAAGCCATGATGATTGTGTCAGGACACCATGATGTTACTACTGAAGCCATGATAATGGTGTCCGGACACCATGATGTTACTACTGAAGCCATGATAATGGTGTCCGGACACCATGATGTCACTACTGAAGCCATGATGATGGTGTCCGGACACCATGATGTTTTGTTTGCAATCGTGTCATTACGATTTCGTGAGTCATGTTGACGGCAGTGAAGGGACTTGAGCTAGAGTTCGTCACGGCCACGCTAGCTGGAGATTCGTCTGTAAAAACTTGCATTTGTGGTCACAGTGGTGCCTGTGCTAACCTTCCTATGGTGTAGAAATATACCATGATGTTACTACTGAAGCCATGATGATGGTGTCCGGACACCATGATGTTACTACTGAAGCCATAATGATGGTGTCCGGACACCATGATGTTCCTACTGAAGCCATGATGATTGTGTCTGGACACCATGATGTTACTACTGAAGCCATGATGATGGTGTCCGGACACCATGATGTTACTACTGAAGTTGTGTTCAGCATTAATGGAAGAATCTTGAATCCCTGAAATGAAATTAATCTCCTTGATGGTGAAATACGACTGTGTAATAACTAAGAAGAATCACGTGGTAAATCTGACAAGGAAGGCAGCAAGGAAGTCTCAGTAAGGTGCATCTAGCACTTGCTCGCAGCAGAGGCTGTTCAACTAAGGCACAAAAAGTTCACTTTATATCCTAAATATTCTCTGATGAAATTGAGACACATGTGCAACATCCGGGTATCTTTATTGTAGACGTTTCGCCATCCAGTGGCTTTATCAATACAAATTCAGGACATAACTTGAAGACAGGAGAACTATGTACAGAAGATGAGGTAATCAGTCCCTCAACCTAGCAGTAGGTGCGAAGAGCACCGTAGTCGTGGATATTCTCTACCATTTTGCATTGTCTGCCACGTACGACGAGGCAGAGGGCCATGCCAGGGAACTCATCTCTTGGCTCGACCCGGTTGGTTGTATCTGCCGTTTTAGCCAAGCTTCCAACATCGGAGAGACGTCAGGAAGATAACTATTACATACAAGATAACTTATCGCTAGGTCTGCATACCTGTCTCAACTTACACCATAGAGAAGTAGACATCTGTTCCCCACACTGTGGACAGGTGTCAGCAGCTTCACTCTGGCTCTATCCTCACCTGGAATGCTCCGTGCTTACAGAAGGTTTTCACAGTCATCGACTGATCATCGGAAAAACAAGATATGGAAGAAAATATCTAAGAAAGTCCTATCATTAGTAAGTTATACAATTAGTGTAAAAGCTATTAAATTACCAAAAACACATTAGGTGAGTAGAGAAAAGAGCAATTAATTAGTTGTTCATCATTCCTGTGTTTTGGTCTCCAGGAGTTTTGTCAGGCTAATACAAACAATGCAACGACACAGAGAGTATTTCACGTCACGAGGTGTGGGACGCTGAGCATAATCACAGTCATAGTAGTAGTAGTAGTAATGGTGGTAGTAGTAGTTGTAGTAGTAGTAGTAGTAGTAATAATAATAGTAGAAGCAGTACTACTACTAGTAGAGGTAGCAGTAGTAGTAGTAGTAGTAGCAACAGCAGCAGCAGTAATAGTAGTAGTAGTCGTAGTAGTAGTATTATTACTAGTAGTAATAATAGTAGTAGTAGCAGCAGCAACAATAATGATGGGTCTACTGTTGTTTTAAAGATTCTTGATAGATGACGACGCTATCTTTGATGTATATAATGGTATCTGCAATTCAGATTAAAGTCTCTAAGCATTTCGTTTGCAGATTTATGGTTCCTTAATCACTAAGATGGCGTTGTTCCAATTCACTATTGGTAGGTAATGGTGTTTCAATATTCTTCACGTGTTGTTTAGTTTCTTGCATCTGCAAGTGTCAAGGTGTTCAATTAGATGTGCCCCCAAGGTTTATAGCAGGGAATAGTGTAAACTACTTCTATGACTGGTTCAAGATTCCTCGGCTTTGATGGATGCATTGGTTATTATAGCGACTCTGGTGTTGACTTGTGCGAGCGCTGTGTCGACCTTCAGGCTAACTTGGCTAATAAGAATGAGGACAACTTTGCCCAGAGTGGTGTCAGTACGTGGAGAGTTAAAGTATAGGTCTCGCATCTCACAGTCTTTGATGTAGAAAGAAGGAAAATGTAGCTCGGGGAAGGTTTGGTGTATGTAGGAACATTCCTAATGTAAAAAACTCGTGGCTGCAGAAGCGATATACTTTCAAGAGAAGGACAGTGAAGATGCCTCGTTCAGTCTTACTAATGTATTGACCCGAGTAGAAATGGACTCTGAATCCCAAGGTACGACCGTCATGGTGGACTGAGGACAATGAGCTTGTAAAATGAGATGTGAAGTGTGAAAATGAACTACAGCAGGATGACAGCTTTTAGCTTGTAAAATAAAGGCATGAAACCTGGGTATAGTTTCTCTAGAAGCTTTAACTGTAAAAGAAAAGAAATAATATTTATACCCATTTTATTATCAATATATCGCTGATTTTATGCTCTGAGTTGAGTCAAAAGTGACTCCCGTTCCTCAGGGGTTGCGTGACCCCTACAGGTTTAGAGCTTACATATAATAATAATAATAATAATAGTGATAATAATATTAATTATAATAATATTGTAGTTCTTCCTTAGGAATAAAAAAAGAAAATGGATTGGACATATTGGAATTTTTTCAAGAATTTTATTCAGTACAACTTAATAATTCATAATTCTTCCTTGTTTCAAGTTACACACACACACACACACACACACACACACACACACACACACACACACACACACACACACACACACACTAAAGCCTGTACCTATGGCTCCTCCACAGTGCAATAGTTACAATGTAAACAGAAGAAGGATAATAGCAGCAGTTTACAGTCCTGCACTGCAAACAAGACAACAACAGAGCAGTAATTCAGAGCTGGAGGAAGCAGCACAAACAACAGACAGGACAAAGGCAAGGCGCTGATCATGGCAGACTTTAATCACATGGAAAATTACTGGTAAACCTGGAAATCACACGGAATGCCAGAATATATGGAAAGATATCCTGATGGAGGCAGGATATCTTTCCATATATTCTGGCATTCCAACATGTTAAAATGCCTGAGATGTGAGGGGAGAGCGAACCAGCAAGGTTATATCTGTTATTTTCCCAGAGTGATGTCGACAAATAGGAAATCAAATGTGAGAAACCGCAATGTCTATGAGTCAGACTATATTTTGAATGGAGAGAAGCAAGAAAATTTCAACTTAGCAAGAGACAGATACACAGAAGGAATTCCTAGAATTTCTGTAATTCAGTGGGAAATATGAATGGAAAACGACAGAGAGGTTACAAAAGACAAAGAGAGCAATAGATATATCTTGCCAGCATTAAAATGAAAGGGCTAAAAAGAACAAAGAAAGCCACGAACATTGAAAGAATACAAATGATAGAGAATGACAGAAAAATAGCAACTGATAATGTAAAGATAAAAAAGGGGGCAGAAAGAATTTGAAAATGGCACAATAGCAGAAAAAAAAAGAAAAAAAAATGCAGAATCGAAGCTGATGCATCGCCACACAAGACAGTAGACTACATAAGGGACCAAGAACTAGAGCCCAAGTGTGAAAAATACTCGTAGTAGAGAATCCTCTATATCCAATGTTTTACCCATTGCAGGTCTAATAAAGCCCAGCCTTGGGTGGAACGTTGTGTTAAGAGGATTCTCTACCATCAGTATTTTTATCTTCACTTATCGACATTTACCACTGTCTACCTGAGAGGTGTGAGCTGACGAAGGCTGAGTGGGAGGCAGGAGAAGAGCTCAACACAGCTTCAAAGAGAGCTTCACCGAAGAATCGGGAAAAAGCTGGCATGAGAGCAAAAAAAAAAAAACAAAGACAAAAGAAAAACAAAACAAAACAGGGTGATCTTAAAAAAAATTACGAGGAATTTATAAAAGAAGTAAATTACAGAGACCCTAAGTAAATTAGTGAGAATAAAAGCAAGAGGAAGCAGAAAGCATATAACCTGGGCATTACGAGGAGGCGCAGAAAAATTGTGTAACTCCTTATCAAGGATTTACAAGTGACTGAGGAGGAGTCTGCAAGTGTGGTCCTATTATACAAAAATAAGAGAAATCAGGAGAGAAGCTCAGCTATAGACAAATTCTCTGTTTAGCATACTGGCTAAGGTACTAGAGAAGATAATAAGGAAAACAAGTATTTGAACACCTTGAAATACATGCGTATGTGTCAACTAACACAGGTTAAGAGATGGCAAATCTTGTCTTTGAGTCTCCTTGTTTTTTTATGATGCAGCAATGTAAATAAATCAGACTGTATCTACTTAGACTCTTTTAAGAAATCCTTCGACACAGTACTATACCAGAGGTTGTTATGAAGACTGAAAGAGTAGGCAGGAGTAACAGGTTACGAGCCTACGTGGATGAAAAGAATGTCTGGAGAATGGAAGGAAGAGGATAATGGTAAAGAAGGAAGTATAGGAATAAGGACGAGTGATAAGTGAAGTGCCTCAGGCACTTCACTTATCATTTATGTTTGTGGATTAAGTGAAATTAACGAGGAGGACAATGACTGGAGAGGATAGGAAGATGCTCCAACAAGACTTGAGGAAGACTGCAAACGTGGCCAGGAAGGTGGCTACTAAAATTCACTCCTGACCAGTAAAATACAAATCAGAATGAGAAAACCGGCCACGACAAAAATACAGCCTGGGAGGAGAGAAACTTCAGAGAACACAAAGAAAGATCTGGGAGGAAGCAGCACACCGAACGTATTAGTAAAACTATATATCAACGATATAACCTCAGTGCCACTTGCACAACCAACTCATATTAGAATATATTTCAAACACCTTATCAAATAT